CTCCTCGTGCTGGATCCTCAAGGTCTCCATGGAATGGCTTGAGCAGGCTCACGTGGAATACCGGGTGTATCTTCAGCTTTGGTGGAAGATCGACACGGTAAGACACCTTTCCTACCTTTCCCAGAATTGGATAGGGTCCCTCGTATCGACGCACCAGCCCCTTGTGGACTTGTTGATAGGCTTTAAACTGCTGGGCTGGTAGCTTCACCATCACAAGGTCGCCCACTCGGAATTCCAGCGGCCGTCGCTTTTTGTCTGCCCACTTCTTCATCTTTTTGGAGGCCTTGTCCAAGTAAACTTTAGCCACATCCAGCTGCTCCTGCCAATCTTTTGCCCAGTTGTATGCAGCAGGACTTGCACCAGTATAGCCTCGCGTCACATAGTGAGGTGGCAACGGTTGTTGGCCTGTCACGATCTCGAAGGGGCTTTGCTGGGTGGCCTCACTCCGCTGCAGATTGTAGGAAAATTGAGCCACGTCCAACAATTTGGCCCAGTCATGTTGATTGGCACTTACAAAATGCCGCAAATACAGCTCCAGTAGGGCATTCACCCGCTCCGTTTGCCCGTCCGTTTGCGGATGAAAGCTCGTGGAGAAGTGGAGGTCTGATCCCATGAACTTGAAGAGTTCCCTCCAAAACTTCCCCGTGAACCTCGGATCCCAATCGCTAATGATGATGCAAGGAAGCCCCCAGTACTTCACCACGTGCTTGAAAAATAAGCGTGCTGCTTCCTCCGCCTTGCAATCCCGTGGGGCTGGGATGAAGGTTCCATACTTCGAAAATCGATCAACTACGACCAGTATAGACCCGCACCCTTCAGACTGTGGGAGAGATGAGATGAAGTCCATGGTGATGCACTCCCAAGGGTGTTCTGGGGCTGGCAGGGGCTCCAAGAGACCCCCAGGTTGCCGCTGCTTGATTTTGTCTTGCTGGCACACCAGGCACGTCCTTACATAGGCCTCAACATCATCTCGCATTCGTGGCCAATAATATAATTCTTCCACCAGTGCCATGGTGCGCTTGATTCCTAGATGTCCAGCCCACCTCGAGTCGTGGCACTCCTTCATCAGCTCACGTCGTAAATTTTCCCACTTCGGGATATATAAGCGATTCCCCGTAGTATACAAAGCACCATCATTGCACTAGAATCGTCGCGTCTTGCCCTCACGAGCCAACCCCATAAGACTCTTGGCAAAGGGATCATGTGCCAGGCCCTCCTTGACACGATCCAATATGTTACCCTCAGGTCGACTGATGGAGGTGAACATAGCCTTGCGGCTCAGCGCATCTGCCACAACGTTAGCCCGCCCAGGCTTGTATTCCATCACATAGTCGAATTCAACCAAGAAGTCTTGCCATCTTGCTTGCTTGGGCGTGAGCTTCTTCTGCCTTTGGAAGTAGCTCGTAGCTACGTTATCAGTCTTGATCACGAACCTGCTCCCAAGCAAGTAATGACGCCATACCCGCAAGCAATGGACGATGGCGGTCATCTCCTTGTCATGCACCGGATACCGCCTCTCTGTGTCATTGAGCTTGCGGCTCTCAAGCCATCTTGCATCAAGACTCCCCCGATTGCCAAGTCCGACGCGTCAGTGTGCATCTCGAAAGGCCTCCCATAGTCGGGCAGTGCAAGCACTGGTTCTTGGCTCATCGCTTGCTTCAAGTCCTCAAAGGCTCGTTGACACTCCGCTGTCCACTCCCACGAGACCTTCTTCTTGAGCAAGTCTGTCAAGGGTGTGGCCCTTGCCGAATACCCCTAGATGAACCGACGATAGTAGTTGACTAGGCCAAGGAATGATCGCAGCTCGGGGACTGAGCTGGGAGGCTCCCACTCCTGGATGGCATGCACCTTGGCCGAGTCCATCGATATCTTCCCGTGGCCTACCCAATGGCCTAGGAACATCACTTCCTGTTGCGCAAATGAGCACTTCTCCGGTTTCACGTAGAGCTCATTCTCACGCAACACCTGGAAGACTTGTCGAAGATGCTGCACATGCTCCTCCAGTGTCTCGCTGTAGACCACAATGTTGTCTAAGTATACCACCACGAATTTGTCAAGGAATGGGTGGACGACTTTGTTCATCAAGGTGCAGAAAGTAGCTGGAGCATTTGTGAGGCCGAAAGGCATCACCAGGAACTCGTATGCACCGTAACGCATCACACAGGTGGTTTTTGCCTCGTCCCCATCGGCTATTCTCACTTGCCAATACCCCGACCTCAAGTCGAGCTTGGTGAACCATCGTGCCTTCCCAAGCTTGTCAAACAGGTCGTCAATCAAAGGAATGGGGTATTTGTTCTTCACTGTGATCTTGTTGAGCGCCCGGTAGTCGATGCACATGCGGAGGGTCCCGTCGTGCTTCTTTTGGAACAGCACTGGCGCTCCATAGGGTGCTTTGGAGGGACGGATGAACCCCGCATCTAGTAGCTCTTTAAGTTGCTTCCGGAGTTCCTCCAACTCAGGTGGAGCCATGCGGTATGGACCCATTGCTGGTGGTTTCGAACCAGGCTCCAGCTCAATGGCATGATCTACCTCCCTCCGTGGTGGAAGCTTCTTTGGCAGCTCCGGGGGCATCACATCTTCGAACTCACAGAGAATGCCTTGAACTTCCTGTGGGACATCAAGAGACGAGGTACTATATTCCTTTAAAGCAGCTAAATAAGTATCCTCACCTCGTTTGATGCCTTTAGATACTTGTATAGCCGAGAGGACGCGGTCTCCAGCGGGTAGCCGCTCCAGTGGCACCTTGTGACTCTCGTTCCTGTCCTCAAAACGTATGCAGCCATCTTTGGTGAAGGTGAAAGGCAACAGTTGGTCGATAAACTCCCCACCCAACACCAGCTTGAAGTCGCTCATGGTTATGACATTCAAGTCAACCTTCCCCGACCATGAGCCTATCTGCACGGGCTCTCCGCGTGCAACTCCACAGATGGGCTGAGAAGGATTGTCGACCACCTTCACCCATCCTGGTTCCTTGGTGTATGGCAGACCCAGCTTCTCCGCAAGACTCACTGCAATCAAATTTTGGTTAGCGCCACTATCCAACAGAGCACGGACGCTTACCCCTTTGATCTTGACAGTGACATATTTGAGGGTCTTGCCGCCACCCCTCTGTTCAGCCATGGCACGGACCTTGGCGTCACCCCCACTCTGCACCTTAGCCCGTATGGCGTTGAGAACTTGCATTGCTCCCAACTGTGTCTCCCCCGCTTGGGATGGCTCCCCAATCGCTGAGATGATGGCGTTGAGCTTGTTCCGCTGCGGGCACTCCCTTGCCCAGTGCGGACCGCCACACAGGTAGCAATCCCGCCTCACC